TCTCAAATTTCTGGAGCACCTTCGAGCTCAAAAGTATTTCATTATTTAAGTGAAATTTTCACTAAATAAAGTGCTTTAAATACGCCATCATTAGAAATCAATTTATTTGATTTAGCTTACGTGTAAAATAATTTTGCAATAGCTCATTTGATAGATAATACTTAGTTTTATTTAATTATTCAATAAAAAAATGAAGTTTTAATAAATACCAGTTTTATGCTTATTACTTACACGAAAAAAATTATTAAATTAAAAAACAGCAAAAAAAAAAAAAACTTGAAAAAAATACCTTTTTTATTACAGCATAAAATGCAAACGGCATAATATATATATATTTTATAAAAGCCGGCAGAAATATATACATTTTATAAAAGCCGGATGTTTAAGCTATAAAATGGTATGTAACAATGTCATTTTGGAGAGTATTTTTTTTATACTTTTTTCCACCACCTGGCCCACTGTGAGCTGTGACCACCCTGATATATATATAAAATTAATTTTAAATGTATTCTACAAATTTTTTTATCTGAAATATGTATTCTACAATTTTTTTTATCTGCGTTTTTTGTATATATATATATGTATATATATGTATATATATATATATATATATATATATATATATATATATATATATATATATATATATATATATATATATATATATATATATATATATATACACACAAAAATATACATTTTTTTGATGTTTGTCAGTACAATTTTTTTAAATAAAAAGCCATAAAACTGAGCAACCTTGCAAGTCATTACATCTCTGATATCTATTTTGAAATTCACAAAACTTAAAGTAATCTTTTTGTGACATACAAATCCTGAGTCCTTTTAATACTCCACATCCCTGATTGGATCATGGCTTTACTTAGATAACCTTAACACAAACATTAAGGTTTTGAATAATCTGATACCTTATTTCAGATTATTATAACCTCATACAAAGTATAATATATAACTTTGAAAAACAAACTACAAAATGTTTTGATTTTTAAACATGCAACATATGAATGGATATTAATCAATATAAATGAGAGAAACACAGTTTTTTAACATATAAACCAACATTTGAAAAATTAATAATATAAAACATTTAAATCTGTAAAAATAGAAAACTTGTAAACACTTTAGTTTATTACTTATATAATGTGACAAATAGCTGTTTGAATTTTCTAATTTTCATTCCTAAAATACTTTTTTGTAGCTGTTTATACATTTTATTCACAGTAGTACCAGACTTTACATAAATGAAGGTCTTTCAATAATAAAGCTGTTGTAATCAATAATAAACTTGTTTATCATCTTAATACTAACTTAATAATAAGTTAATAATATTGTAATTAAGTAAAATATTTATCCTTCATAAAAATATTTAATGAAGTTACAATACAAGTATACAAAAAAAATGCAGAATAAAATCCAGACAAATTTAAAATTTAATGAACATAACATTGAAATTCATAAATACGAAGTAAAACAGAAAACAAAGCAAAAATATAAAAGTAAAAACAATAACTAATATAAACAATTATGAAATCTAATAATAAAAGATAAAACTTGGAACTTCAAAAACTTTCAAACTATTTTTTTTTCTCACAAAGCCTGCTTACCTTAGCCAAATAAAATAAAAAGTAATATTTAGTGTTTTTAAGTATTCTAATAACACAATAATGTAGAATAAACATAAACTTACTTCATAAAATGTTCTGAATGCATTTTCGATTAAACACCGCAAACACAGTTGCAAGTTAAGATATTTGTTATATAATATATATATGACAAATAATATATATATGACAAATAATATATATATATATATATATATATATATATATATATATATATATATATATATATATATATATATATATATATATATATATATATGTATATATATAATCAGTTACAGCGAAATACTAAAAATTGCTGAAAAAACTGATGCTTACATTTAAAAATATATAATAATCATAGTATTAGACAAACTGTAGCTGCCTTAACAGCAAGTGAGTTAGAAACTCACTTCGAAAGCTTTTGATAATATACTACAATATAACTTCAATTTAACAAATATAACTTTTGATAATTTTTTTCAATTTTCAGCATAAGCTGAAAATTAGAAAAAAAAAAATAAAACTAAAAATTTGTCTAATTTTTCCTCAAAACTGTTTACATTTGTTGACTTGATAACATTTAATGCACTCCGTAATTTTGCTGTGTTCCCAATGTGTTCCATAAATTTGCTGCTCTGTTTATTATGAATTCATATCTAAATATAAACTTCCTTCATTCTTTATTGTATTTCTTATCAGGACCTCTGCATTTTTTGAGAATATTGGCTTTTTTAAAAATTCTAATTTTTTAATCGAATTAAAAATCTTGACTATATAACAATTTTTTTTTTGTTTTTAGTGTGTAATGTATTACTTTTTGTCTTATAATGGGGAATTAAATACTTTCTTTTAATGCTCAAAGAGTCCTGATTCCTCAAAAATTCCTGATGTATATAAAAGTTTTCTTTCCAGTTTTAACAAAATATTGAACTTCATATACTTCATATAAGTCCATTTTGTTTCTAAACAGTAACGAATTATCCTCTTACTAGACAGTTTTAATATAATAATTTGATTAGGACATACCTTTTTTCATAAACAGCACTTTCCGAAAAATGTTTCTCCCAATGCTTGCATTTGCTGTCAATTTTCTTAATATAAATTAACTAGTTTTCTTATAAATAAATTAGTATACATATAAAGACCTCAAAGAATTATAACAATAAAATTAATTTAACAAACTTTTTTTAAACAAATTTAAGTTTGCTGCTAAACTAACTACTCTAAATTTAATGTCATTAAAATTAATATATTTAGCAATCGTTTAAAATTTTAAAACTATTAAAAACTTTCAAGAATTTGTTCTAACATTTCAAATATCTTTTTGTCAAGTTGTATTTTTCCAGAAAACTTAAAAACTACCAAAGTTGTATCTACTCTTAAAACTGATTTAAAACTGTTAATGCCAAACTATACGCAAATTTTTGTTGGCCTTGAGGAAGTAAATAACAAAAAAAAAAAAAAAAAAAAAAAAAAAAAAACTCCTAGAAGGTTTTTCGGCATTTCGGCGTTTCGGATTTTTAGAATTTGGCGTTTTAGAAACTCCCCAATTTGCGGCCTATAAATTAAACAGTGTTTTATAAGAACTATGATGGCTTCAATACTCTCTATAGTAAAGGTCTTTACATCTAATATGCCCTCAACTGAGATTTAATTCCATTGTCAAGAAGACAATTTTATAAATATACGTGTGCCTTAAAAGCTATTAAAGATTTCATTAACATCTTAAAACGCGACGTGTTTAGCGCGCTCAAAACCGATAATTAAAAGTATATTAATAATTTTTTTCAGATTATTGAATAGGTGTTTGTTGTTGCATCGAATCTTCCAGTTTTTTTAAACTTAAATTTTGGCCATGCTCTTAAAGTTTTAGTTCTGTCCACCGAAGCTATAATTTCTGGGTAATATTTTCCGAAAACAAATTGGACATAAAGACAGTATAGTTATATTAATCAATTTGTTTTTCCTCCTAATCACTTAAAATTGACATCTTCGCTAGATTTATTTTATTTTTTTGCAGATTTTTAGCTTTTCATAATTAATTTCTTTGAATATCCTTGAATTAAGTTACTTCCTTATTATCTTATACGGTTACCTTATCATCCTCGAATTATGTTACTAACGTATATACAATATACACATGTGTAAAGTAAATATACACATATGTATTACCCGCTAAACAGCACGTTTAAACTCGAATTCAAACTCGTTGAATATCGTTACTAACTCGAAAAGTAACTCGGATTCGAGTTCTTAAAAGAGACCTCTCGGTTTCGAGCTCGCGCTGCGAGCTAATTACATCGTAACCGAGCTCGGCGCCAAGTTTGTTTCGACTTATTAGCTTGCGCTGCGAGCGAATAACATGGTAACCGAGCTCGGCGCCGAGTTTGTTAGGAATTTCTAGCAGGACTCTTATATACTGAGGTACCACTTGTATTTAACTGAATTAACCCTTTTTTTTTTGCCTTGATTTAACACTTTTAAGTGTATATTTACATTTTTGGTAATAAGGATCAGTGAATAGGAGTGGGTAGAACTTATTAAACCATTAAAAAAATTATTTATTTAAACTATACGTTGTAGACAGTTTATTAGATTACATTAAATTACCTTAACAGTTATAAACATTTGAATAATTGTTTCATTAAAAACCGAAAATATTTAAATATTTATTAACTTATACCAAAGAGATACTATAGCTGGAGTGAGAACGAAGCTGAAAATCTTTTCAAATCCCGATATGGTCATTGTAGTATAATTATTCCAGCGGCAAGTCAAAATGGCGTTTTTTGCAAAAATACGAAAATTTTTGAAATGTAATTTGTAAGCTTTGAAAGCTGTTACCAAAGTGGTTTAATCTCCTAAAAATTTATTGAATATATTTTTAACAACTATTCAATAAATTAAGAAACTAATTACAACAAAAATCACGATTAAGGTGAAGAAATTGTTTTTTGCACCCCTCAATTATAGGTATAAATATCAATGTTATAGACAATCTTAATTACATGTTTGAACCTTATTTTTTGCTTGCCTTTTCAGCTATAGGTTTGTTACGTTCTTTAAAAATGTTCTTTAGGCCAGGCACCTATTAAATCCTCCAGGCACTTTATAAATCCTTAAGCTTGGTTTCCAATAGTTGTAGAAATGTCGTACAACAGTTGTACAACACCTTTGTCTTATAATGGAAACATTTTATACCGTAAGTTGCACAACTTTACGTCGGTTGTACAACAAAACTCATGTTGTACAACTCCGGTTGTGAGTATTGAAAAAATTCTATTTCTGCAACCGTTTTTTTGGTCGCGCAGTTAATTTTTTATTGGAAACTGCACAAAAACTGTAAAGTTAATAAAACATCTTCATTTTTTACAAAATATGACGACAACTCCATTATGTGTGTTTGAAAAACTATCTAAAGCAGCTTTTATGAATGAAGTTCAAAAATTTCCAGTATTGTATGACAAGTTTAATAAAGATTTTAAAGATAAATGGAAAAAGAAAAATGCATGGGAAGAAGTTGGTCGTTTTTCAAACTTATCTCCTAATCAAGCGGAAGAGAAATATAAAAGCATTCGAAGTAGTTATGGAAGGTGGCTGAAATCAAAAAAAAAATATTCCATCAGGTTCTGGAAGGAACTCAGTTCCACCTCAGTTTCTTCAGCTCGATTGGCTAAATACTTTTATAGAACATCGCGAAACAACAACCAGTATTTAATTACCTTCTGACTCCAGATTAGAAACATCGAATTTGGAAGAAAACATTGACATAGTATGTGAGCAAGTTGAAAATACTCATCATCCATTTAATAATGATCATATATCTGAAGATGTGACTACAGAAAACAGCTCTATACTTGCGTGCAAGGAGAGTCAAGTGAGTCAACAATTCACGCTAATAACAAAAAAAAAAGAAAAAAGTTGGATTCTGATGATTTACTTGATAGAACCTTAGTGAAAACATTAGAAAAAATTAACTCCAATATTGAAAATCCGACTCTTGAAGAGCAGGATGAAGATTATTTATTTATGAAATCATTAGTTCCGCAACTTAAGCGATTAAACAACTATTCTAAAGCCTTGGCTAAAGTTCAAATAAAAACATTACTTCTTAAATTAGAGTTTCCAGACAGAGGTGAAACTATCTAGCCTATTACTCTACTTAACTGGTCAATGTGGAAAAACTGTACTTTAGAAGTAAATAAACTATGAAGTAACTGTTGATAATTTGTTTAAAAAGACACATTCTGGCTTACTATTCTTTTTAACCTATTGATGCAAGAAACATAACATTTTAAGTAAAATTAGATGTGAAGTTACTTTTCATTAATCATTGGAATAGACTAAATTTCGCTTACTATTTTGTAAAGTCTATTGATGTGATAAACTATAACTTATTTTAGAAAATCATGGAGGTATAAAATGTTTATCTTTTATTAATTATTAGGTAACTGTTGAAGTATATCTTTTAACAATAAAAAAAAAAAAGTAAATTATTGGTTTGTTAAATATAACATATTTTCTTTTATTAGGAAGTTTTTTTTATTACATACATTCTAGTTATTAACTGGATTGTGGCCACACGATTGAACATAGTCCATTTGCCACGAAAGGCTTCCTTCACATGAATTAAAATAATCTTTATAAGTATTTCTTATTGCAATATTTCTTATTGCCTTGATCTTGTAATTCTTTTCTCCAATCTCCTTGAATAACAATTCCTGAATGACTTTCACTATCAACAAAACCAGTAGGAATATAATGCGCTCCATCTGTTAAACGCAAATAGTTGTGAAGACAAACAGTAGCCTTTATTATATGTTCCACTTTCAATGGCTTTGCTTTAATTGGAGATCTGTATATTCTCCATCTAGCTGCTAAAATTCCAAAACTATTTTCGATTGTTCTACGTGCTCTAGATAAGCGATAATTAAAAACTCTTTGCTGAACAGTAAGATTTTTACCTGGGTACGGTTTCATTAACCATGGTTTAAGCGCAAATATGTCATCTCCAACAAAGACCGGTGGAACTTTAGGATCAAATTCAGAAATATTTGGTAAATTAAAATAACCCTTATTAAATGCTCTCCCAAACGTGCTTGCATTTAAAATGGCAGCATCATTATCCCTTCCATAAGCTCCAATGTCAACCATTGTGAAACAATATTTAGCATCACAAATTGCTAATAAAACCATGCTGTAAAACCCTTTGTAGTTATAAAAAGAAGATCCAGATTTTGCAGGTGCTTCAATGCGTACATGCTTTCCATCTATAGCTCCTATACATTGTGGAAAGTTCCAATTTTGATCAAACTCTTTAATAATATTTTGCCATTCTTTAACGTCATTTGGGGCTCGTAGAAAGACTTTCTTGAGAACTTTCCATATTGCACAACAAGTTTCTTCAATTATATGGCAAACTGTAGCTCTGCCAACTCGAAAATAAAATGACTGAGTTTGTTGTGATTCTCCTGAAGCAAGGTATCGAATTGTTATAATTAATCTTTGCGACGGACATATAGAATCTCTACTGGGACAATACTTTTTCGTTAATGAAGATCCAATTAATGACAAAAGATGTTCAAGTCTGTCAGGAGACATTCTTAAATATCGATAAAAAAATTCTCTATCAAATAGCTTCATTTCTTTCACCAAAGAACTAAATGCACCTTGCTGAACACGTTTTTTAAAGAGTTCTCTGACCCAAAACTGATGTTTTCTTTTTTTTATCCTTTTTCGGCGTTTTAAAATTAAAAGTATAACAAAAAGTCGATAGTTTAGAGTAGCATAATTTCTAGTGGCGGCCATTTTTTTTTGTTATTATATAAAAAATTTAGCGGCAATTCATTATAATGGAAACACAACGTTGCACAACAAATTACCGCACAACAAATCAAAGGTATGTTGTACAACTGTTGTAAGACATTTCTACAACTATTGGAAACCTTAAGACGATTTTATTTTGTTTTGTAATATTTGTGCCGTATTTACAACTTTAAATCCGTAAATTTCATGTTATTATTTATTAGTAAATTAAGGTATTTGTTTGTACCAACATACTTGATAATACCAATTTAATTTGAAGTAACTTATATTTATTTTTTACATGTTGTGTTGTAATATATTTTGAAAATATTATTTGTCATGTATTACTTGAAGTATGATAAATATTATTACAGTTATTAAAATTTTAATGTTGGTTATTAAATGTCCAGATTTTGATTAAGTTAATAATGAGAAAGGTTTTGTGTCGAAATGCATGCTATTTTATGTCAATGTTTCACTTAAATAAGGAAATTTTTAATCTAGGAGCTTAAATATATAGTTTAAATCAGTTGTTGAAAAATAATAAATAAAAATTGTTGTGACAAATAATAAATAAAACTATATAATTGCAACTAATAACTGCTACTATTTATTCAATTAAGTTTTATTCAATTTTGAATAGAATACATTTCATTATTTGATTAAAATTATTAATTTTTAAAAGAAACAATAAAATTTATTTTGTTAATTACTTTATAAATTATATAATTATATAAAATTAAATAAAATTGAAAATTCTTTTATTTAAATAAAATATAAATGAAATTGAATTGCATAAAGAAAAATTATCAAAAATTTGCCGTTTATGTTAGCAAAAAATAATAGTAGACCAATATTATGTTTGTAAAAAGACTGCTCTGGAATTCAGTCAGGAAATATTTGATATTTTTGGTCACCATCTCAATGATGATTGTGAAAATGTCCACCCAAAATTTGTATGTAACAAATGTAGAAGAAAACTTCAGCGTTACCAGAAAAGTCCATATACTGTTTTTCCTTTAGATGTTGCTGATTTTACCAAACATGAAACAGTAACCTGTTTAGTATGTTGTGGACATTTAAACAAGCATATTTATAAAATCAAGTTTTCTGGTGTTTTAAAAAACGACCTAAGTAAATCAAACAATACTTTACTTTCACCTATTCTTTCACCTATTACTTCATTTTGCAAGTTTCTTGAAATTGCTAGCATGTACAAGTTTATGAAAACAAGTGAAAGTGAAAATTGTTATTATCTTAGCAAATTTCTTGAAATTAGTGGAATTCCAGTTATTGAAAAAAGTTTAAAAATTTATGAAAACTTTTCTTGGGACATAATTGCCTACAATTTACTTGTATCTAAAGAGAATTCTTACCTTGCATTAATACCAAAAGTAATATATGAAGAAAACATTCATGAGTTTTTTATGGCTGTTAGCGAATTGAAAATTTGTCCAGCCAATGATGAATTTAAGGATCTAATTTCTCATAAGCTGTCATATGGCTCAGAATTGTATTTCTTGAATAGAGATAAAATTATTAAAGCAAAAATTGAAAATAAACAATTTTCATCTGAAGCAGATCTTAAAGTTATAAGGTCAAGTAAATGTGATAAACTGATTTCGAATTATGTAAGTAGATGCAATTATTGCACTACATTGAGAAAAGACCTTATTTTGTATTCTCATAGATATGAAACAGACACAATTGGAAGTAAAGAAAAATCTCCTAATATTTACAAAAATAGGGAACAATTGTTAGAAAAATGTGAAGAGCAACATAATTATTTACAATATTTGAAGAGTGTTTTAAAAAGGAAAGAAAAGAGAATACGAAAACTGTTTGAAAAAGAAAGCATTGTTTTGCCTGACAAACTAAATGATGTTGTTAGTGGTGTTTTAAAAAGCAATCATAACCTTAGCTTTCCAAAAAAATCTCCAAAGTATTTATTATGGCAAGAGCAACTTAAAAACATTGGATTAAAGAATAAAAAGTCAGCACGATGGCACCCCTTGTTTGTAAGGTTTTGTCTCAGCATATACTTAAAATCTCCAGGTATAATTTTTAACAAGTGTATGCAGTTATTCTAATTTGTTTAAAACATATTTGTTTTAGTTTTTACAAGAATATATTAAATAAAGTCATTACATTCTCTTTTAACTGAAAGTACTAAGACACTCAAAGAAGAAACTTTTTTATCTCTTAAAGTCCTAATTTGTTAACCTTATTATTTTTTAAGCTTTGCTAACTAAATTTGAAACCTATAAAATGAGCTCAATTAATTCTTAATCAAAAGTAAACTTTTCCATTTGAATATATTATTAAAAAAAAAAACTAAATTTCCCTTTTATTTATTTTAATTTACTATTTAATTTTTAAAGCATTTTATAGTATTATTTTTATACGATTTATTTACTTCTTAGCTGCATATGAGCACATTCGAAACTCAGGTTTTATTGAATTGCCACATAGAACAACTCTTAACCAATACACTGACTTTGCTTCAAGTAAATCAGGATTTGTACCAGAAATAGTTTCAAGATTATGCTTAGATTTGAAAATAGAAACGCTTAAAGATCATGAAAGGCAAACAATTATAATGTTTGATGAGATGAAGATTAAACAAAATCTTATCTTTTGTTCGACATCTGGGGAGTTAAGAGGGTTTACAGAGTTAGGAGACATGAATGAAGAACTTAATGAATTTGACAGGTGTTTCAGCCTGGAAACAAAAAAAACTAAAGATCTTGCATCACATATATTGTGTGTAATGGTTGGTGGTCTTTTAAAACGTTTCGCATATCCATTAGCTTATTTTTGTATAGCTGGTTTATTAAGTGATCAGTTGTTTCCAATTATTTGTAAGGCAGTTAGAATATCCGAGACTATTGGTTTAGAGGTTGTTGCTGTTGTTTCGGATGGGGCGTCTACAGAAGATTCTTCAAACTGCATGAATTAGCTGATGGCTCAAATGTATCAGTTGATGGGGTTGTTTATTGGATTTATAATCGATATGACATGGATAGAAAAATATTCTTCATCAGCGACCCACCTCATTTATTAAAGACACTGAGGAATAACTTGGAAAATTCTGGTAGTAATAATTTTACCAGAAGTTTAACGGTAAATATTCTATTCAAATTATTGTCAGATAATTTTTTTCTTTGATTTTTACTATATTTAATTAGACTTTTTATTGAAAATTTTTTTTATATATATTTAAGGTGAAATACCTATTTTATAATTTATTTGAGCAAATGAATCTTTTTTTGTAAATGTTGTTATTTACGATTATTGAACTTAGTATGCAATTTTGAGATCATATTTCAGTTTTATCTTTATTTAGTGCAATGAAAAATCTTTAAGCTGGCAGCAAATAGTTGACCTCTACGATTGTGATCTTGGCAGGTTTCGGTTAGCTCCTGGACTGCGAAAGTTACACAAGTTGACGCATGATCATATGATTTTAACACCTAGATTGCGGATGAGAGTAAATTTAGCTGCTCAGGCAAGACAATTTCATTTTATATAAGTAAATGTAAATTTCTTTTAGGAGATGACGCATGTTATGCATAATTGAACCTTTAAGTATAGTGTAACATAAGTGTGATAGTAAAAAGTTGTTACAAATTCTTTTAAGTTTTAAGCAGCACTGTAGCTGATGCAATTGCTCATCGTAACAATGAACAATTTTCAGAATTGGAAAAGTTCATTCGTTTAACAGATATGTTTTTTGATATGTTAAATGTAAACAATAAATTTCAAGGTCAAAAGAATAGGAAGCCAGCTTTATATCCCTATCATGCAGTGGATGATTGGAGATTTGAGGTATTGTTATCTTTAATTGATATACCTTCTCATTTTTAATGTTCAAATTTATCATCATTGTAGTACTCTAGTTTTTGTGGTTGACTAGGTTGGTTTAGGGCTGAGTTTCCAAAAAAATGAGAATGATTGTTGTTTATTATTAGCCAATGAGTTTAACTATGAAAAAGAAAAGCAAGGGCTTGTTAAGATATCTTAATATTAAAAAAATTCCTCTAAATTATTTATTTCATCTATTTTCAATAATGTCGTTTTTCTACTATTTTAGTGGTTGCAAAACACATACCTGAAATATATTAATGAGTGGAAAGCAAAAGCTGAATCGAATGAAGGGACTCCTAAAGAAATGAAAACCAAACTTTGTTTGAGTTCTCAGACTATCCAAGTGATCAGGATTACTGGTATTATTGTTTTGAGTTTTTAATGACATAATTTTATTCACAAAAAATTTGTCACTTCAAAAATTTAGAGGGCGTCCATAAAGTACGTACCCAGGTATGGGGTTTTTAATATATTTAAATTATTATTTTTTGATTCCTAGCTCAATATTCGCAACAAATTACAAAAAAAAAAATTATTCTATTTCCTGTCAAAAAATATAAATTAAAATCCTTAACCATTTCGTTTGTACCCATTTTACTCAACATATTGTATATATTGTTTTTTTTTCAATTTTTCTGGAATGGAATTATATATATTTGGAATCCTATATATTTTTCTGCACCCGGCCCCCAAGACCCATAATCCGGTATATATTTATATAAATTATATATATATATATATATATATATATATATATATATATATATATATATATTTATTATATATATATATATATATATATATATATATATATATATATATATATATATATATATATATATATATATATATATATATATATATATATATATATATATATATATATATATATATATATATATATATATATATATATATATATATATATATATATATATATATATATATATATATATATATATATATATATATATATATATATATATATATATATATATATATAATAAATATATATATATATATATATATATATATATATATATATATAATTTATATAAATATATATTTATTTTTTGTATATTTATAATTTTATATATAATTTTATTTTGTCATATAGTGCATTCGTTTGTTGAACTGGTCCCATATTTATTGAGCAGAGTAAATGATGGTCAAGAACTTTATTTTTTGTCCGATAAATTAAACCAGGATTCTGTAGAAGAACACTTTGGACGAATACGTAGTCGAGGAGGAGCAAACGAAAATCCAACTGCTTACGAATATGGCCTTCTAAATAGAAAAGTTATTGTTGTCAAATCTGACTTGCTGAAAGTTATACGTGGTAATACTAGAGGCTGTATACGCGAAGAATTAGTTTTTGACGTCAATGATAACAGAGAACTCCACAAACGCTCTAAAAGGAAATAAATTTTGTGATTGATTAATAGGCTTCATAGGCATGTAAAAAAGGAAAAGTTAGTTAAAGAAATCCGTACAAGAAATAGATTAGAACCCCAACAAGAACAGGTTTTGGAAAACTTCGGGGTTCTAGATAATAGTGTAATGTTTAGAATTTATTTAAATTTTACTAACTGTAATAATATTTATTAAACTTCAAGTAATACATGACTATTAATATTTTAAAAAATGTATTACAACACTACAGGTAAAAAATAAACATAAGTTACTTCAAATTTAATTGGTATTATCAAGTATGTTTGTATAAACAGATACCTTAATTTGCTAATAAATACTAACACGAAATTTACGGATTTAAAGTTGTAAGTTAATAAAAATATAGGCATGCATTCGTGTTGTTGGAATATTATATTTATCTGCTTTTTTTATTTTTTTCTTCACTATTTTGAAATGTCCTGAAAAGTTAAGAAATACTATTACATAGAAAAATCAATACCAAAACATACTTGATTGGTACACGACATAATTTGGTTTATTTAAAAAGAGGATTCGGACGCCATGGGTTTCTGTAACATTAAAAAAATGAGGTTCTAAAAATTTTTTCTAGAATTTAAAAAAAAAAAAAAGAGTTGCGGAAACGGGATTCCAGAATCAGCCGTGGCGCAGTGGTTAGAGCATTGGACTTATAATCTTTTATAATATAAATTATAAAAGAGGCGAGTTCGATACTCGCTAGAAGCACATTATCGTTATCGGTAAGGTTGGAAACGGAGAACCAACTAGTTAAATGCTGGTTTACTTGTGGCACTGTTCTGTGAAAAGACCATTGGGCACCTTTAAAATAAATAAGAACCCTTATGTTTAAAAAAAGGTTCTTAGTTCAGCACCCCTTTGGGGATCTAATCTCTACGCATAATAGTAATATTATTTTAAGGTTCTTTGATTTTATATGCTTTTTTAAAAAAAAATTCTGAGCATCACTACAAATTGCGTTACAATTAGCAGAGAATTCAATCTTTTATTTTATTAAATAAAGGTGGTTTAGATGGAGCTGGCTGTATATGTATCCTCGAGGGCCCTAGGAAAAATTGATTTTTCGATTCTAAAATAGTGAGGCCAACGACAACAGCCTAATCTGCCTCTCGAATAATCTGGCAAAAATTGTGAGTGCTACTAATTTTAGGACATCTAACGCGAAGATGTTTAACTTGATAATAATAAAAAAATTTCACTTTTAATAAGATTTTGTTATTTTTCTTCTAAGGCTTTAGTTGTCGACAAAATATCAGCCACGGGGACAAATAAAATGGTTCGACTTGTGTGCGAATGTTCGAATTATCCAATGGAGTTTAAGGGAAAGTATAATTGAGAATTCAAAAGAGGCTCAAAAGTACTTCAAATTACTATAAGTTCGAGATATCGGATATATATATATATATATATATATATATATATATATATATATATATATATATATATATATATATATATATATATATTTATGTATACCTTTTTGTGTTTATTTAAAAAAAAATGTTTAATTTTAATTTACAGATCAACTAAGGAATTAAAATGTAGCATTACAAGTAAAAGTAGACTAAATAGTACTACTGCACTGTAAGCTCTGAATATATATATATATATATATATATATATATATATATATATATATATATATATATATATATATATATATATATATATATATATATACATATATATATATATATATATATATAATATTTTATATATAAAGAACATAGAGGGTCAATTTCCATTTTAGTATCTCAGTATAAGGAATACGTAAGTATCAGGAATATGTAAAAAAGTATGGGGAATAAAATCGAAAACTAATTAACATCAATATTGAAATATAAAAATATTTATATTTTTATAATAATGTATTTTTTTAAATATTACATTATAATATTTATAATAATATTTTTTTATTGTTAATTAAAAATAGAGCTAACAAAGCAAAAATATGGAACTTTTGATTATTTTTTTATTTACAAAGAATTCAAATAAAATTGTGTGAATTTTTAAACTAAAACAAACTATAGAAAAAGCATTCATTAAAATTACAAAAATATAAAAAACGATTCAGAAGCATGCAAAAAAAACATTTAGAAAACGTTAAAAAACTACTACTAATAGAATGCACCCTACTTTAAACTTTTACGTAGTGATACTTCACCTTTGCAAGAAATTTTATGCCCTATTTCACTTCTTCTCATAATCTGAATCCATGTTTTAACAAAGGCCCTATTTCTGATATTAATCCACCTTTTAATAATTTTTTCGTATAAAACATTTTTTATAGTATCATTTGCAATGTCCATTGTAAGCATCTCCCATTTTTCTATGACTAATTCACTTTTAATGATACTGTTAAAAACTACAGTACTTAAATTTTCCCCGCAATAAGTTATTATCAAATTTTTGTTTACAATTTTACAAGCATCTATTTCTATTTGACGAATGAAAAGCAAAAATCTGTCCTTTACTATTATGAGTCCTCCTCTCTTAACTCTTTCAATCCACTGTATCGTATATTTATTTATATCTGCACATTCATCTTTTGGTTGTGTCTATGATCCCCATAATGATAATAATTCAATAAATGCTTTACCCTGAGGCGATCGTTTATCCTTTATATTTTCTTTGAGAACATAAATTATATAACCGGCAATATATCTAATAGTCTCTTCTTCAGAAATATCAAGAGGCTTATACACTTCCTCAACATTTAAATTTACATTTATACATTTAACTCGATACTCTAGACTCCATTGCAATAACCTATCAAATATATATTGGAGTAATAGACTATTTGCTTTTTTGGATGTACAAATATTGTTATGGGATAGGAAATCATTCCAAATATCTTTTGCTTTTTTTAAAAAGCATAAATGCAGAAATTTTTTGAACATTTCTTCTCTGTTGTGGCACTTTGTTCCATTAAGTTTTATAATTATAAAAATTTCAACTTTAGCTAGACTGTCAAGTTCCTTAAGCTTTGATTTATCTTTTGATAACATTTGCATTACCTCTTCAGCCAACAACTTGATTTCTACACCTATTCCAGTAATGCTATGCATAGGATCTTCAGACGCTTCCTTTAAAGATTGAGCCATAAAATTCTCAGAGTGTGTGTTGAACTCTGATTCTATCAGCATTGGAGCTATAAAGAAATTGGTAATAAACATGGCATGTAAATATAATTAAATTGACAAGAAAATTCATGGCCGTACCGTGGGTCGGTTGTCGGGTACAACGAACACCCATTTTATACAATTTTTTCTTTGTTTCATGCAAATTTTGATATAAAAATCGAGCCAAAGGGAAGTTTACTACTCTAAAATGCCTTTTTTTTCAAAACGAACCCCCCTATAACTTTTCACGGTACGGGCCTGAAATTTGTAGTTATTGTTCAACAAAATATTGATAACTTTTATTAAAATAAAAAAAAATAAATTAAATTAAAGGTAGCAGCCCCCCTGCCCCAACTTTGGGACTATTTTTCAGAAATATTCTATTCTAAATTGACTAGTACAAAGAAGTTGTTTATTATTCTGATGAATGGAATTGACTAATATACATAATTATACATATATGAACTTGATTATTAGACTAAAATACAAGAAATATATAAAAAAGTTACTTAAAAATAAAAATTTGCGTACATTTTTTTCAAAGATCTTAATGGCCGTCTCTTTAGCAAGTTAAAAAAAATCCGTCCCTGTAAAATTCTTAGTCATGATTTTTTTGCATTTATTTTTTGTATTACATACATAATTTTTTGTATTACATACATAATTTTTGTATTACATACATTTGTTAATGTAATGTTTTAATGAATCAATCATGAAATGATTTATAAACAGTTAAAAATAATACTAAAATGATAAAATCTTCAACTTGTAAACTTGACAAAAAAAAGTGGTTTTATTTTTTACTAACAACTTACTTTTTTCATGCATATCTTTTCTACACTTTTCTTCGTGAATTTTTAAAAGATTTTTATTTTTATACTTTTTACTACAAAAACTGCAACAAACTGGAGGTGTAGTAAGGGTGGACGAAGATTTATCTCTAAAGTAGACCTCTTCGAAAACAAATTCAGAAATATTATCATCGCTTACAAACACAAGCTTTGGAATATGAGGAAGTTCTTCCACTGAAAAATCTACAGCAATATCATCCTCGTTGATTAAATCCTCGGAATTCACACTTTCTGGATTGAATATAAATGAATCTATTTCCAGTTCTTCGTCAATGTCTATATTTTTTAAAGCATATTCTAGTTCAATATCAGCCATTTTTTATGTTAACTTTTTTTGTGTAATTTTTTGACGTTTTTTGAAAAAATATCATTGGATAGTGTTTTTTTTTAGTGGAATGTGATTGGATAACCTTAAGTTATGATAATTACATAAAAAGTCATTGAAAATTATGTTGCAACTAAGACTGTTCCGTAAATAATGACGTATTTAACTGCGTTCTCACTCCAGCTATAGTATCTCTTTGCTTATACATGCATAAGACTTAATTCTGAATATAGTATTAATTAGGAAATAAATATAAACATTTACGCAAAGTTACCTAATCACATTTTTTTTTTCATTTTATTTTCATAGACAAAATTTTGATGATAATAATTTAATGATTTGATGATAATATTTTTTGAATTAATGGAATTTCACGTACTTTTAAGCAAATTATAATAAATATAATAATCAAGAAATAAACATAAATATAACTTTATGCTAAATTATATTCTGAAAAATATTTAATGTCTTTTTTATTCAGATTTTGACTTGGCATGCGTATTTTTACCGTTTGCATTATAAAAAGATTTCTTCAAAGAGTTCTTGACAAATTCTTCGTCCTTGAACCAAACTTTATGCCGTGACAACTGCAAATACAAAAATTCCGTTAAAGCAAGTAAAATAATTGTATTTAATAATAATTATGCAATATATATATTTATATTTACTTATAGTTTATAATATATTCATTAATTTATTTATATTTAAAATACATATAGAAAAGTATATTAGGAGTTATTTAAGGCTAAAATAATGAAAAAAAATAAATAATGGTACTTACCGAAGATTGCTGGGCAGCTTCGTGTCTTTAAAAGAGCGACACAACTGCTAATTCTTCTTGTGTAACACATATTGATGCGCAGATCATTTCTAAAGAGTGCCTTCATTACCTTGCGACCAGCAGCCAACGGGGGTACTCTGTACCTAAACTTTTAATTAGCGCTTTTTTCTAGAAAAAAAAGTGACATTAGAACTTAAGTATAAACAGTCCTATGAATTCACACAATTACGATCTCATTCATCACTCACCCATTCTCTATTAACCAAATCATTCTCAAGTTTATCATTCAAGTCTTTAATCTGGGAAACAGC